TAGACCAATGTATTTATTTGCTTGGTCTTACGTTGTAGCTTACTAACTGACTTTTATGGAAGATTGTGAGACGATTTGATTTTGATGTATAGAACACTAAGAAATGGTCTTGGACCTAATGTATTCTCTGTTTTTCTTCCCACTATATCGAGACATCTCAGAGAACATAAAAAGCGAGTAGAAAAGCCAAGGACGAAAAAATTCTTGGAACCTGTCATTCGAAGGAGTGTTGTCCGCACCTTCGATTGATTAATCCAGAAGAGGGCTAGACACTCACAGAAGCATACGAGAAAAGGAATAACTTAGGCTGTGAGCCTTCTGTCCTTACTACACAAATCTAAAACAATAAAATGTAGTTCACTTGTTTGAACCCTTGAGGAGAGCACTTGTCAGATGGTAACTTGAGTAAAACTGTCAAGGATTTATGATAACTACTTACACATCTCGTTATTTCAGAGAGTACCGTTGCAACTGCTTATCTAAAAAACGTAGAAAAACATATGGGTATCCATTTTCACCAGAAGTTTACTTTTGAACGCAAACGTATGTAGACTCCTCAAGTTATCGTAAGTAACACCAGTCGTTCAGAAAAGTTTGCAACTATACATTTATGTAAACACCAAAAACAAGAATGAGCCAATCCTGGCTCCCCTGGGGAAAAGCGATCACGCCGTTATTGCCTTCAGTTTTGTCAGCGAATCTGAGCTAAGATATCGCACCAACAACAGGCGCTGGAATTTTAAATGGTTGAATGTGTCAGCTTTACAGGACTATCTACAACAGGTAGATTGGGATGTTCATCTTCAACTTGATGCGGATGCTCATTGGGACTTCTTACTGAACACGCTCTTATGTGCTACAAGGCAGTCAGTTCCTCAAACGGTCCCCAAAAGCTACAAGCAACTTACAATCATCAAGAACCACACTCTTTGCCTGCTAAGCCGCAAAAGGCACTGTTGGACAGGATACAAACGAACTGACAACAACGGCATGTACAGGCAATACAAATATATAAGGAACATGTGCACGAAGGCTATAAGAGATGACAGGCTTCAGCACCAGATAAAGCTTATGGATAAATTCTTCTCCAATCCGAAAAGCTTATTCTGTTCTGCAGCTTCTGTTCGTCAAGCCAAAACTGGAGTTAACCAACTGCTAGGTCCTAACGGCCTGACCAATAACGACGGCGACGCCTCTAACCTTTTGGCTGAACAATACTTTCGGACATTTTAACCGACCCACATCAACTATGCTGATGACAGCTTCATCTGCAACTGCACAGGACTTTCCATAGTGAACCTGAGCGCTGACTTGGTGTTCCGGAAACTGCAGCACCTAAGAAAAGACACTTCTCCTGGCCCAGATATGGTCCGTTCTGCTATACTGAGGGAAGCAGCTTCAATCCTGGCAAAACCGCTTAGCGTGATGTTCTCACGCTCGCTAAACCGAGGCAAACTACCGGGAAATTGGAATCTGGCTCACATCACACCAATTTTTAAAGGAGGTCGACACAGCGAACCTTCAAGTTACCGACCGGTGGCTCTTCTCTCCATACCTTCAAAAATCATGGAGCCCCTGATATACGATGGCATACATGACTATTTACTGTCTTGAAATTTCTTCTCACACCAACAGCATGGTTTCAGGAAGGGTTACTCTTGTACAACCAACCCGCTGACTGTGGTGGACAGATGGAAAGATGGACAAGTATCTTCGGTCGCAGGGGAAAGGTTGATATTATTTATCTTGACCTCTCAAAATCTTTTGATAGGGTTAACCATATATGTCTTATCAATAAACTCAAACGATTGGGTATCAGACCACCTCTAATTGATTGGCTCATTTCATATCTGAAAAATCGACATTTTAAGGTCAGGGTTAACTTTACTCTATCTCAGGCTATGGAATGTCCTAGTGGGGTCCCCCAGGACTCAGTACTACGACCTCTTCTCTTCTTGATTTATATAAATGGTCTTCCTCAACAGGTATCGTCAGACTTATTACTTTTTGCTGATGACGTGAAACTTTGGAGAGAGATACGCAACCAAGACGATATACAGGCACTTCAGGAGGATCTGACTCGACCTCAAGGTTGGGCAGATGATAACGGATTTACCTTTAACACTTCAGAGTATAAAGTAGTCCATCTGCGACATGTCGCAGACTACAGTTACAACTTAGGAAATTCCTCTCTAGTAGTATTCCGAGTCGAAAAAGATTTAGGAGTCCTGGTGTCCTACGATTTAATGTCCTACGCTAACTGTAAAAGAAATGCCTTTCGAGCAAGCCTTGCACTGGTAACATTGAAGCGCATTTTTGGTTAGTTTGACGGAAGAATTTTCCACATAGTCTTCAGCAGTCTTATTCGTCCTCGTTTAGAGTACGGAAACATAGTTTTTCTTTCCTCACTCCATAAGGAGAAGGATACTCTGGAGCGTTTCCAACGGCGAGCCACGAAATCTTTTTGGGGACTCAAATGTAAACCTTATAAAAGGCGCTTCTTATCACTTAACTTTTACTCATTAGAGTATTGGCGTCTTTAAGGTAATCTTCTGATGGATTACAGTATCCATAACACTTCTGAACATCCTCTTAAACACCTACTCAAGCTTAGTCCCAATACTAACCTAACGGTAACACCCAGAAATCGGAGATACAACATAGCAGAACGGACTGTAGACACGACTTCTACTCCCTAAGAGTTGTCAAATGATGGAATCCGTTGCCGGCTTAGCTAGCCCAAGTAACTTACCAGGAGTCCTTCAAGAGGTAACTTGATCTGTTCTTAAGGACTAAGGATAGTGTCCTACTATGATTTACCAATCGCTCTTTTAGTTTATTATAGTTAATATACCTAGGTTCCTGCCTGGAGGTATTGGTGATCCCCTGCTACTAGACTCGAAAGCCTGTTAAGGAAAAGCTTCTTCTATTCCGTCCACAACCATTTGAACCATTTGAAGGAGAAACGAACATGTTGCTTTAGTGTCACAGCGCACATATCAAAATGTTAGGAATTATCGATGTGACGTGTAGCCTTGAGTGTTTCGTTTCCTGGGAAAAGCCATTTATTAGTATTTGCGACTCCATGGTCGATCATTAACATTATTTAATAGCCCCCTCTTTAGGTTTTCCCTCTTGTAATGTTTGGCAACTTTCCTATTTGTCTACATATAGAACTCTAAGGGTCTTAATCCTTCATAACTAGTGAACATTTCGTAAACTTTTGAGTAAATTTTGAGGAGAAAACCTGTGCTAGTGTAAATCCTGTGGTTTTGTTGCATTTTTGCAAAAATTCCGACTAGCAAAAAGCAAATCCGCAAATTATTCGTGTTTCTCAAATCCCCCAACCTTAATTTGCATAGGTAGCTGTGTGCTGTCCGATCGACGGTGTAGACTGCTCCTCAGCTGTACATACTTTCGGCCGATCGGCAGAAGAGTCAGCTGTTGCATGTATAATAATATAACACAGTTACCATTACTAGATATCAGTAATTACTTGTCTCAATCATTATCACTTCATTCCCCCCTGGCATTCTTTCAGTTACGTCTTTTTACAAGTGTTTGGAGTACCAATTAATTAACTCATTCTCGAGACAATCGTTTTTTTCAGTACTCGCATTATCACGTTATGATTTTTCTTATTGAAACCAACCAACTTCCTTCATGGTAATCAGATAGCTGCTGGTATCCGTAAATTCTACTGCCCTGAGACAAATGTACTCAGTGAAGCTGCATAATGTACAAATCAACAGGTAACTACCAAATCAGCGCAGTCATGTGGCTGAACTACCACCCATTGGATATTAACAATACGTGGAGCCTTACCGAAACAAAAAGAAGCGGATACAAAGAAATTAGTCAGTTTATACAACTCGTAACGAAGCTACTAGATAAATTAGAACTGACGGATGTTCTAACGCAAAAAAAAGTCGTTATAGTGACATATAATTTCAATTCGGGTTCTACCGTGTTCATACAGTCTTTCCAGCACTACAATCACGGACAAATGTGTTGTTAATGGCTCTCTGCTTTCTAAGTAGCTTGTGGTGTATTTTACCTGTGAGGTTTCTCATGTCGGTTATATCATTTCAGCTTGTTTGTTTTCTCTGTGTTGGCAGGAGGTATGCCGCGGTATAGATTCGTGTCAACTACGTCGTTTATGGTCGGCTAATTTGATACTTGATCCTATCATCCTACATATTTATTTTTAACACATAGATATTGATACAAGGAGGCACCAAATACATATGCACCACACATATCTCACTTGATATGTGTGAGGGATGTGATACTGCCCGGGTGCCCAAACCGAAGCAAGTATCCTATCATCCTAGTATTGTTTTTTTTGGGTACTGCGCGGTAAAGCAACATGTGTTTATGCGCTGCATTTTGTCCTTCTCTACGTGGTGTCTTATTCAAGTTGATGTCGACGACACTGCTTTTTATGTATACTGTCTCAATCCCCACAGTTATCAAGCCTTTGTCTTTGTTAGTATCATTTGAGTGAATTGAATCATTATAATCCTATAACAGCTAACACTATCTTGTCTAATTTTTCTAATGTTCACAATAAAAAGACTGAAAACGATAGTATTTTACGTATTGTTCAATTCACCTTTTATTGTTCTAGACCGATTGAGTATAGGATCATTAGTTTTGTCTGGTTTTGATCATTATTTATCATTCCAAACAGTTAATCTGACTTATAGCGTCCGAACATATGGTTAGACCGTAAATGTAGTTGTTTTTCAGCAAATAGTCGATAAATGCTCATGTTTTTAATTGGTTGTGTTTATTTAAGCAACTGTGGAATTTGAGTATTATTTCTAAAGGCTTACTGTCAGCGTAGGCGTAAAGTTTACCTGGAACTAGTACTGTTATTTTGAGTGACTTAATTAAATTATTCTTTATAATTAGGTCTTAGAAAATAAATGAAACTTTAGAATTTTGTGTAATAAATATTAATGCACATACAAAATTTCTCTTAATCTAGTTGAAATATGGTTGGAGCACTGTTCAGCGTTTTCAGCATATTGTGGCATTCCGTGTCATTCATCAGCTTACAGACTTTAGGAATTTTATTATTTGGAATTTATTTTTATCGTTTAATTAAAATATGTTACAACTACTCGATTGGAAGAACATTGTTTTCAAAACGAAAGAACTTGAAACAATCAGGTGAATGGGCAATTGTGACTGGTGCCACTGATGGAATAGGCAAAGCATATGCAGAGGAATTAGCTAAAGATGGTTTAAATATTATGTTAATAAGCAGAAATTTGGAAAAATTAAAAAGTGTTGCCAACGAAATCGAATCGTCTTATCATGTGAAAACTCGTATTGTTGTTGCTGATTTCACACAAGTAAGTTGTTGTAGTGAAATGTCTAGATAGTTATATTATTCATTGATAGTATAATTAATCAAATATAATCTCTCAATATGGGGGATTTATGTATATCGTTTAGATTTATATTTTAATTCATGATTTTAGACGATTAGTGAAAACTATATTGGACGTGAGTCAGTTGTTGGTCGTTAAAAGATCGTTGTACAGTATCATTAGTTAACTGAAGCTAGACATACAGACCGTTAGACAACTGATTGGACCACATTTTGACTGCGAAACCTAAAAGTATTTGTTTCAGTCTCATATGGGGTTGTGGGTGCGCATTTCTGCGGCGTCCTTGGATTAGACAAAACAACTGTCCACTGCTTCCTATTTTTCAGTGGTTGTCTACCCAGGATCGGTTTGTAATATAATTCCTAATATTATCTCTATTAAGATTAATTCTTATTTTATTCAAACAAATACTAACTTGACTGTGCGTCTGCACTTAGTGGACAAATGTTATGCATTTGGAAAAGTTTTGCCGTAAAAAAGCACTCATCTGTAAAATGTAACCTTACAGATGTCTAGAACTAATGTTACATTGTTTTCTGCCTATGTATTTGTTTTTAGTTTTAACGCCTGGTTCAGTTTATGTGATTAATTCCACATTTAATCAAATATAAGTGACATGATGTCTTGTTCTGTCTGTTTGTATTACCATGCAGCAGCTCGCTCAGAGTGGAAACTCTGTTCTATGGCCCCCAAATGCCCTGGTATGACAGAGGGTGGGGAGAGTTAGCTCTCCTCCCTCAAATCGCTCTCACATAGCCACGCCTACATAGCCTCTACCAGGGAAGTCCTACTCACTGCCTTCTCGTGGCGGGGGTATTGTCTACGAAATCGAGAGGACGAAAATCACTAGTCAGACGCCTTAATCGGGTTGGTGGACACAGAGAGTTTACCTAGGGGAATTGGAAAAGCCTGATTCCAAACCAATGGCGCATATAAGCTCCAGTGTCCTGAGGGAACGAATGGAGTATGAACCAATTGCTGGCCACCGGCTACCATGTGACTGCATCTCCTTACGTTGCTCCACTGCCTAGTGAATCAGACCTTTAAGTCGAAGGTCCCAGATGTGACATCCTAAGAAACCCGTCTGTTTCAGTTTGGGCAATCAGGAAGTATCACAACCCTCATACAAATTTGATGATATGAAAAATATTTCACAAAATACTACCCTCACTGCAATCAGAACTCAGACATTTCACTTGATAACATTCATCTTTATTATTATTAATTTTCTTTATATACTATATCACTTATCACATTTTATTGTCATTTCATATATCCCCATTTTTTCAACGTATACAATAGATTATCCATGATAGTAACTTTCTGTTCTATCTAAATCATAATTTATATTTGGCTACAATTTGTTTTATCCTTATAACATTAATATTAAAATAATTTCTTATTTGTTTTCTTATTTTAGAATAATATTTATGAGTCTATTGAAAAAGAAATATCTCAATTATCATCTATTGCTTGCCTTGTCAATAATGTTGGTATGAGTTATCCATATTTTGAATATTATACAAATGCTAAATTTATAAATATTAATTTTATACAAAATTTAATTGCTTGTAATACTCAATCCATAGCAATAATGACTTATATTGTTTTACCAATATTATTAAAACAACAAATGAATAATTCAGCTATTATAAATATTGGTTCAATGTTAGGTTATTTACCATCACCATGTAATTCATTATATGGTTCAACAAAAGCATTTATTCATCATTTTTCAAAATCAATTCAAGCTGAACTTAATCATTCTAGTAATAAAATAATTATTCAAACAGTTTGTCCATTATTTGTTGCAACAGCAATGTCACGTACAACAAAGACATCATTTTTTATACCATCTCCTCATAATTATGCTAAAAATGCATTAAATATGTTAGGTGTAGAAGAATTTACAAATGGTTATTTTCCTCATGCATTACAAAGTTACATATTAACTTCAATACCTTTATCATGGGTTTATAATAAATATAAAGCGATTGCTGCCAAAGCACGTAGAAAATATCAATAAAACTTCTTATTTATATTCATAAGCATTCTAATCTCTATTTTTGTTGTTGTTGTTGTCGTTTTAACTATCATTTTATATATATATATATGTATATTTTTAATATTCAATTCTTAAATATTATTATAAATAGATAGATTAGTTTCTTGATTTTTACTTTTGTTTATTTTATTTGAATACATAAATATTGGTACAAAGGAGCACCAGATACATATGTGCCACAAAAGTTTTCATTTTACTTGTGTGTGAGCTGTGATACTGCTCGGGTGCCCAAACCGAAGCTGGTGGTTTTCTTAGCGGGCCACACCTCGAGCCTTCGACCTAAAGGTCTAACCCACAAGGCAATGGAGCAACGTGAGGACATGCAGTCCTATGGTAGCCGGTGACCAACGATTAGTTCGTACGCCATTCGTTCCCTCAGGATACTAGAGTTTATGTGCACTATTGGTTTGGAGTCCGGTTATAGCGCCGGAGATTCGCTTTTCGTCTTGTCACTTTCGTAAACAACACCCGTGGTGCGAGAAGGCAGTGAGTAGGAATTCCCTGGCAGAGGATGTATACGCGTGGCCGTGTGAGAGTATTTCGAGAGGGAGGGCGAACCCACCCCACTCTCGGCCATACCAGCGTATTTGGGGGCAATAGTATGAAACTAATAACTTAATATAGAAGTTTTTACAGGTTGTACATCATGGAAATTTTTATCTAATTGTATAATTGTCATATCATTAAAGTACAAATATAGCAAATGTTTTCTTATTATTCAGATTGACTAATCTGTAACATATATTTTGATTAGTTTGTTCAAGTATATGTTTATTAGGGGTTATTTCGAGACATTATTGTTATGTTAGTGTTTCTGCTCAAGTTTTTGTGTTTCGAATATTGATTTGTTATTGAACCGCTACAAATGAATACGGAGCTGTATTACTGTAACCATTATATTTAGAATTTAAATCATTCCAATGTTTCGTCTAGCAAACTTGTTTGAACTTCTTCAGGGTAATAAACAAAATTATCAAAGAAATAATTAATATTTTGTAGAGGCTCACTAAGTTTGTTGAGACAAATTCCTCTTAATCTGACTCCAATATATTGTATCTTGTTAACTGAGTATTTAATGCAGGCTAAATCTCCTAGTAGAATTATCGATTTACTCGAGATTATTCAAAAGCCCAAACATCAGTTATAGAGATAGTTTATTCTTAAGGCTTGGTAAAATCTGCAAACAAGCACGCAAGGAAAACATAAGTGTGTGTGTGAGTGAGTGTTCAAAAATCCATATATATATATGAGTGTTAATCAAGTCTGGATAAATTATTGATTGTCTGTGTATTACAATCGGTGGAAGAATAGATTAAACATTGACTTGCTCAATCAGACACAGAAAATTACAAGGTGAATCAATTGTCTACATTACAATGAGCAAATAAATAATACAGTAGTGGAATGGGATTACTACAGTTTAACAATCAGATGAAATATTTACTATGCTTATCCAATCATATTTAGATGTTGATTGTAGTAAGTAGGATAACATGAGTCAGTTATATACGGATCATGTACACAGTTCACAATGTGAAAATAAATGACTAAATGAATTGTGTGCGTTTGTAAGATTGAGTTATTAATAACTCAGGTGTTAAATTTGTTTTTATATGAAGGCCACGTGCATACCACTACTGACAGGGAAGGCCTACTCACTGCCTTCTCGCGACATTACTGTTGTTTACGAAATTCAGAGGAAGAAAGTCGGATGTCCGGTGCTTTAACCGAGCTGGTGGACACAGAGAGTCCACCTAGGGGAATTGGAAAACCCTGATTCCAAACCAATGGCGCATATAAGCTCCAGTATCCTGAGGGAACAAATGGAGCATGAACCTATTGTTAGTCACCGGCTACCATGTGACTGCATCTCCTTACGTTGCTCTACTGCCTTGTGGATCAGATCCTTAGGTCTAAGGCTCCGGATGTGATACTTTAATAAAACCATCTGTCTCGGTTTGGGTAACCGGACACTATCCCGGCCCTCACACAAATCGAATGACTTATGTGGCGCATATCTGTTTAGTGCCTCCTTGTACCAACCTTTATGTGTTTAAATAAATAATGAGTATTCCACACAAAAAGAATTATGTAATTGTTTAGGTAGCCAATATAATTTTTAAATAGTATAATCTCATTTTAATGAGGAACGATAACCCGGATGAAATCTAAATTTCACTCAGTTATTATATAGTTTAGTTACACGATTTTATAGATTTCTTACATTATATATATATATATATATATATATATATATATATATATATATATATATATATATATATATATATATATATATATATATATTCTTTGAAGATAATTTTGCACCAGCTAATGAACATTTCTTTAGTATTATTACTAATGCATCCACACATACAACCCTATTCATGTTTACAGTTAAAGCTATTGAGATAACACACTGATCACAATAAGTCTAGACTAATCAGTCAGAATCCAACTATCCGAACTTCCGAATTCAACTAGGGCAGGGTTTTGTGTCACCGGTTGTAAGATATGTTATTATGTTTCTCTTGTACTGGACAAAGTTAAGGAACCATATGTATGGACGTGGGTAGAAAATATTCCTACGATTGATGTGGCTTCAAAGTGAAATCGCTCAGATTTACTTTATACAGTTTAACGACCCACCAAAAGTAAACAACCAGATCAAAGCTGCAGCGTAATGTTCTAACTAGCAATTCAGTGCTGTCCAATGTAATTGTCTAGCGAAAAGCCACAATATATATCCTTCAAGAGTTCATTTAGATGTTCGTGAATATAAAATAAAGCTACAACCCGCTCGAATAAACCATTTTCTCTAGACTATGGCTAGAGATGAAACGTTAATAACTACGAGAATAATGAAGGACATTTGCGATACTAACACCTTTATAGGTATTCATACATTTTCAACATAACAAGTATGGAATCAAAACTTGATGCTTCTCTGAAAATTCAAGTTATAAAATAATTGGTGATGAGAATTATATTACAGTATCCAACAAATTCACGTCGTAGACCTTTTGATAGAACTATTTTTGACTAATATGTGTTATAGCCTCATATCGTATAAGAGTAGCTTGAGGTTTTGCCAGGTAAGAGTATAATCAATCAATGGAAATAATTTTGACACTAAAATTCGTAAGTAATCATGCTGTTCAGCTCTCAAAAAGAGAAACTAGGGAGTAGTGCCAGGTTTGAAGCTATCACGAGTTCACTTAATCTGCGAACGAGAACAAAGACTCAGTGACCAATGATCAGTCAGCTAGTCTTCAGTAGTAAGGATAGTAGTTTGGTGAACTTGTGTTAATCCTAACGGATCGCCTTCCAGTGAAGGTCCATTTTCTCCTTGAAAATATTCACTAATGGAGCTGATACCACTTGTTCGGGCAAGGCGTTCCAATCATTGACTACTCGATGAGAAAAACGGAACCCCACTTTAAGTTTATTAGGTCGCGGTTTATGAACCTTCTTGCTATAACCTCGGAGATTATTAGTGCTGGAGGGAGCAAAAAGATAAGACATATTAACACCCAAATCATAATTAAAGATACGAAATGCCAGTATAAGGTCACCTCGAGTCCTATGATACGACAAGGGAAAAAGGTTTAGGCGTTTTAAACGCTCATCGTAATGGAGTTTAGAATAACCCTTCACTAATTTCGTTCTCATACGCTGGACACGCTCAAGTGAGTTAGTATTCTTTACCAGACATGGGCTATCTGCTTGGATACAGTACTCTAAATGTGGTCTTACATAGGTGGGATATAAAATTCGAAACATTTCCTCGTCAAAAGATTTGAACGCTCGGCGAAGTGACCACAACGCACGAAAACCTTTGACAGCGGCTGCGTTGCAATGCGTAGTTGTTTTTAGGTCATGACTTATTATTACTCCTAAGTCTATGTTCTTGAACGCATGGAAGAGGTTTATCATAAATAAATAAAAATCATCAATAGTATAATGGTAACTATTGCCGTGACTGATGTGCATTAGCACACTCTCCCTAGAATTGATTTCTAAACCCCAATCTCGAGCCCATCTAACTAAGTCGTCTAAATCAGCTTGAAGATCCAGATGATCAGCCTCACTTCTTATTGTTCTCCAGATTTTGACATCATCCGCAATTAATATTGTCGACGACTTAAGCAACTGCGGTAACTCATTTACGTAGAGAAGGAAGAGTAGAAGGCCTAAGATGGTGCCTTGGTGTACACCACATTTGACCGGCTTCCAATCGGATAGCGTCCCATTGACCCTCACTCTCTGTCTGCGGTCACATAAGAAGTTTCCTATTCAATCTTGTACATTACTTTTTTTCCGAAGCTCGTGAGATTCTGCATGAGACCTAAGTGTGAAACCTTGTCAGATGCTTTGCTAAAATCTATGAATATCACATCGACAGACAGACCTTTATCTAAAGCTGCTGTCCAATCCTCTCTTGCAATAAGTAAGTTAGTCAAGCATGAACGCTTGTCACGAAATCCATGTTGCTCAGGAGCTAACAGATTGTGTGAATCTATATGGCTTAGCAACCTAACCCGAATTATCTTTTCAAGTAACCTAACGACAATGCTAGTTAGAATGACAGACCGGTAGTTAGATACGATCTGTCTCTGACCATCCTTAAATGTAGGACTGACAATCGCATTTTTCCAATCCCTAGGAAGATGAGAGAGTGAAAAGGACATGTTGAAGAGTGTCGCGAGCGGTTTTGAAATGATGTTCGCAAGAGATGACAGCAGCCGTGGATGTAACCCGTCAGGACCCGGTATCTTACCAGGTTTGAGGTTAGTTATCAACGGAAGGACAGTTTCCTCAGTCACCTGTACAGATTTAATGGCTGGTATCTCAGTGTGATTGGGACAAGTATTTGTTACAATAAACGTAGAGTAGACTTCGCTAAAATAGTTCGAAAAAGTCTCAGCAATGGCCCGATCTGATTCAGCTAGTAAATCCGAAGTTTTGTGTAACAATAACGGGGGAATACCATCACTACGTTTC